ATTATCCACCCAAAATCAGCATTTTCAGAAGTTTATGCAGCACTGCCATTGGCAGAGGTGTCACCCACTCAAGCCCATCCCAGGGAGGTGACAGTGGTGGCATCAGCAGGGTGTTGCAGCTTGTGCCAGAGTTTGGACCATGCTCAGGTACTGCCAGGGTGAAGTCTTGCAGGTGACTGAGGTGATGGCCAGGGCCTGCCCTCACTCCCTTCAGGGCAGCCTAGTCCCAACTGGCCCTTGAGGACATGGTTTGAGGGTGAACAGAGTGGTGCTGGGCTCAAAATCAGGTACTGCTGCAATTATAGTTTGGGTTGTTTGAGGCAGTTTAAAAGGAGGATTTTCTTAATTTCAGGATTTTCTCTTGCCATGTGTAATGAAACCTAATTTTTGTGCATCACAATTTGCTGCAAATCTTCTGTTTCCCACTGAAATTAGCTCCTGCCTGTCCAACCTGAGAGTGACACAGTAGGTGATAACATAGGAATTATAGGACTCATTAAAGATTGGATTCATCTCTGTAACTTTCAGTAAAGCCTCTAAAGAAATAATAGTGTATTGTGCCCACAGTGCTCTTATTAAAAATGATAAACGATCCCCATTTTTTGGCCACCTCTCATTTCCAAACTTCATTCTTCTCCTCAGCTTTATGGTTACCATAATCTTGATGTTTTAATAGCTTTTCCCATAATAGCCACAGAGACCTTTTTAAGTGGCAGCTTTGACTTTATAGAAGAGGTTTGAAAGAAAAAGAATCAAGAGTTTCTTGTACTTAAAAGCAAAGACAAAGCAGAGACAAAACATAGGCAAGTCCCAAGACAGGTGACCAGAGAACATTAGTTTGGCAAACCTTATGGGCTACTTAAAATAATTACTCATAGCAGAACTTCTGTGCAGCTTTCACTAACCTTTTTTTTGCCACTTGCTATAATTCAGAGAAAGTTTGAAATCTGAAGTGTGTTTAGTTTTGTTTCTTGTCTTTCGCAGAGAGTTCTGGGGTAGCTCAGGGGAGACTCAGGTTTTAATCAAGTTTATCATCAAATGCTTTAGAAAAGTGATGAGATCTGAAGGTGATGAGGAAAAATGGACCCAGGAGAGCTGTGGGGTTTGCCAAAATTCTCTGCATCTCTCCTTTTCTAGGTTTCTCTGCTCAGAACTTTTCTTCTTAGGGGGAAAAAAAAAAGAGTTTGTCTACACTCTGATGATAAACATGAAAGGCAGATCTTAAACATCCTAAATCTGTGTTCAAATGCCTTGAATATTTCATTTTTAATTGCTGAAGTTGGTGGCAGCTGCTCTAAGTTTTGCTAAGCCATGCCATTTAGTGATGTAACAGTGGCAGAGGGTTCCAGTTTTAACTCTTCATTGATGTTCATCGATCCACCTGAAGATCAGAGGTAACCTGAGCATCAGGGTCACAGCAGTGCATGGGGGAGCAACTGGTGTGAGAGTGTCTGAAGAGCACGAAAAGAGGCAAGAAAAAGGATTCTGCCTTCTTTCCTTTTGGTCTTGCTGCCACACATGCTTAAGTCAGACAAGTTTTGCAATAGCACCGTGAGTAGCAGGCTGTCAGGGGAGGTTTACTCCAGGCTGCTGCTGCCTGATGTTGCGTGGAGGAGTGTTGGAGGAGTGTAGCCTGCCTGTCACGTCCTGCTGGGCATGTTCTGCTGCCAGTCACTAGCCCAGAGACATAAATATTAATGGTAAGTGTTGTGTGTTGTCTGTGTGTGGCTGAGCTGCTCCTGAAAGCCTCTGCTGAGAGGAGGTGAATGTCCTGCTGTGTGCATGGACCTCCTGCCCCGTGGCTGGGCTGGGGTGGTTCACAGCTCTGTGGGTTTGTGCCTGTTATTCCCAACACCCATTTTGGCCAAGGTCACATCAAGCTTGGTCCATCACAGCTGTCACTGCTCTTCATGAGCCCAAATTTTCCACAGGCTCCTTTGCAAGGTGTCACAGAATCACGGAACATTCAGAGTTGGAAGGGAACCAACCCTTGGCCCTGCACAGGACAGCCCTAAGGATCACACCATGTCCTGTGTTAACATCACCATGTGAGTGATCTGAACTAGTTTAGGACAGTCACCCCATCCCTGTTGTCTTGGCAGAGCAAACAAGGAGCAGCTTGTGGCCTTGTGGGCAGAGCCTGCATTCTTCTGGCCAAAAGAAATCCACTTCCCTTCTCCCAGCACGTGCTTATGGTGTATTCCAAGGACCCAAGTGTGTGTCCCTTACCTTCAGCAAGGATTTTTGTAGCTGAAAAAGGCTCTTTGTGTAGTCTGTGGAGCAAGAAAGGTTTGAGGGTTGAATGTCTTCCATCTGGTGATGGTTCAAATCCAGGGTGTTTAGAGCATCGGTACCAAGTGTATGAGTAACTTCTCCATCCTCTTGTCCTTGCTGATAATCATTACAGAAGGGAAGATTTGCCACCCAAAAAATCTTCACCTCATGTGGCTCTGTCATGGAAATCCAGGGCCACCTGGGTCTTGGCAGCGGATGTCCAGTGGTGCTCAGCACCTGGTCTGGCTTTGCAGCTCGTGGGGTTTCTCCTTTGCTTTAAAACCAGCACATGTAGGTCAGAAATGAGAGACCTACTTGAACGTGCTTTAAAGGGCAAATTAAAAGCGTGGTAAATTTGGCAAAAATTGCGTGCAAAGGGCCCCAAATTAGAAAGGAGAAGTTTGTAATAGAATCCTCAATGAATTAGAGTCTAATGTGTAATTAGAGAACCACAAATTGCCTGTTGCTGCTTGTTCTTTGCTGAAAGACTCTGCGTGGGAAACTCTGGTAGATGTTTCCATCACCAGGAGCCACCTCAGGCTGTATTCAGTGTCTGTTTGCACAGTGGTTACAAATTGCCGATGGGATGTGAACTGCCTATCACTTCCTGAGCAATTAGAAAGTGAAACCTTATCAAAAGAAATCAGTCAGGTTTGAAAAGCCATAAATATTGCACCAGGATCTCTGAGGAAATCAAAGGCAGTTTGATAGAGTATTTATTTACATGTTGCTACACAGGCAGATGCACTCAGAGATGCTCAGTCTGTGCTGTTCCTGTGCTCTGTGTTCTCTGAGGGACAGAACTGGCCAGTTCTGTGAGCATTGGAGAACAGCAATGGGCTGCTCCTCACTGCGAGTTCTGTGCATTTTGGGGCAGTTGTGTCTCTCTGGGTGCTGATTGACTGTAATGAAGGGAAGGCAGAGCTGCAACTTCTCACCTTGACTATATTCCTCAGTGTTTTGTAGTCAGATTAATAAAGTCTGAAGGTGGTTTGGAGGAGATTTTGATCTCTGCCCTGTAGAAACAGGTCTCCTTTAGTTCCCCCTGTGCTGGGTTCCTGTTTGGAGGGATACATCTCCTCAGCATTTGTTCCTCTCTTTGATCACACCTCCCTCCCATCCCACAGCTTTACCCTGTGACCTTCTTCCTCGGGGTTTCCAACCTGGCACTCAGCTGAAATGACACAATTATTCAAGACTTTTAACTAAGGCAGAGGCTAGGAAAAGCTCCTACAACGATGATGGGATTGGAAAGCCTGTCTTGAAAATGACAGCAGAAGGGCTCTTGATGGCTCTCACCAGCAAAGAGGCAAGAACTCTCTAAGCCAAAAGGGATCATTAGCCAGGAGCACATAGCTATAGACTAGCAATGAAAATGTTTAACCTGCAAATGAGAGGGTTCTTAGCAACTCAAGCAACACTGACTTGCACAGACGAGTAGGAGCCAAAAGCCTTGTGATTCTTGGGTATAATTATGGATGGGACCACATGAACTCCTGGGATTGCATAGAGGGGACAGGGACTGATCCAGAGAGACCCTCCCAGCTCTGTTTTCCTGTGGCCAGTTCACCACTCAACAGTCAAAGCAAAACGTTGCACTGCAGAGCTCAGGGAGGCTGTGCTGGGAACCTGCTGTGTGGAGACCACTTGACTCCAGACACCTCTGAGCATCCCAGGGCAGCAATGTTTGTTTGTGCCTAGTGCTGGCTGCTTCTGGAGGAGGGAGATAATTGTGCACCGAGAGTAAATTTAAAACAACAACCTCAGCTACTTGCAGGAAATAATAAGCTGGCTAAGAAGTGGTACCTTGTTTGCTCTGAGTATCCTCTTGACATCAGCATGAGGTTCCTTCTAATGAGATGCAGATGTGTAAATATGATGATTAAATATTCCCACGTAAGCATAATTAGCATATCTTCCTCAAAGTCTAAGCAGGCACTGTAGAATGCTGCTGTTGGAAGTGAATAAACAAATAAAGCCAACAATCTGCATTCAGCCTCTTACACGTGTCGACCGTGGAACATCAGGGCAGAGTTTATTTTCCAAAGTACCTGATGGTGGTTGAGGTCAATTACAGTTATGAGTCATTAGAGCATTAAACTAAGAAGACCCTTTTAAATATAATTAGTGTTCCCTTAGAAAACTGCAGCAATCTTGTATCCACTTCAGTTCTTCGAGCAGTTTCAGTGTGTTTGGGCGTTTGACTGGGGCAGATATCAGAGGGTTAGATTGCATTGACCTCACTCACAAACTCCTCAGCTGCCTGTGGCATCCCTCTCACTGCTGCTTCCACTGCTCAACACCTTCCAAAGATGCCTTATAAAACACACAGCACTTTCTAATTAGTCAGAGAGAAGATTACAGCTGCTTAGTTCAGTGTTGGTTTTTGCTGATTCAGAAATTCCCAAGGAATAAAATGGACAGTGAGTGATAACATGGATCAGTGGATCCTGCTCCCAACTGTCTTTGAAGGGAAAAGGAATTAATAAGGAAGAATGAAAGAAAACCCATGAGTCAGGCTGAAATGTCCATGACAAAGAGGTGAGATCCTTGTGAAATATATTCTGGAAGGACTTGAAGGAGCAGCAAGAATGAAGGAGCAGCAATATTAGATGCAGGCTCAGAAGTGTCACAGTTGGGAATTGCCCTTTGTAGCCACACAGATCATTTCATGGGCTGTCATATATCCCATTTCCCTAACCAGAGGGGTTGCCTTGTGCTTCCAGAGCTCACCTACGCGTGGATCTTCAACGAGTACCCGACCTTCGTGCACCAGGACAGCCGGCGCTTCGTGTCGCAGGAGACGGGCAACCTCTACATCGCCAAGGTGGAGGCGTCTGACGTGGGCAACTACACCTGTGTGGTGACCAACACCGTGACCAACAGCAGGGTCCTGGGCCCCCCCACCCCCCTCATCCTCAGGAATGACGGTACGACTCGGATCAGGGCTGGGCTTGGAGGCTTCGGGTTGTGTTTTTTGATGGGATGTCACCCAGAAGTTAAGAAATGGCCTGAAATATTCATATTGGAGTAGAGAGATTTTCCCCTTCACAGAGGTTCAGTGAGGGTGGAGAGCTCTGCTCCAGCAGAGATGAGATCTCCAGCACTGGAGCAGGTTGCCCAGAGAGGTTGTGGATTCTCCCTCACTGGAGGTGTCCAAGAGCCATCTGGACACAACCCTGAGCCATGTGCTCTGGGATGGTCCTGCCTGGGCAGGAGATGCAACCAGATGACCCACTCTGGGCCCTTCCAGCCTAACTGGTTCTGTGGCTCTGACTCTGTGATTCTGGCTGGGGTTCCAAGTCATGGGCAGTGGTGGGATTTAGGGATGCTGTGTCCAAGGTTGCTCTCCCACCACTGCAACAGCTCTCAGTGCCAGGCAATAATTATAAGAGAAAAACCTGGTGGGAACTGGCCAAAGACAGGAAACAAAATAGGTTTTTGAGTCTGGATATATCCTAGTTTTGCTCATTTTATGCAGCCCAAAAGTGAACAAAAAGCACTTTGTTGTTTCAGTAACTGTTAGCTCAGGCTGTATTTCCCAGCAGAATTCAGGCTATTTTTAGGAGTCTGTGGAATAATACAAAAAAGCAAGAAGAAAGCAAAAGAGGATTTCTAAATTTACACAGACAATTGATTTGTATCGTCGTCATTTTTGAGGAGATAAGAAAGAGAAATTTGCATGTTAATTTCCAAGTGAAATTAATTAAAATGTGTCTGTTGAAAGGATAACACTTAGGACATTTGTTCCAGAAATAGAAATGTATTTTTAGCAGCTTCTTCCAGAAGAAGATCCATTGTCACCTGGTGGTATTTGTCAAAATGCTTATAAAATAGTTTGTTGCTTCCAGCTCCTGCTCTTCCCTGTCCCCATCTCTTGACATGGTTCCTGTGGATGGGGAGTGGGTCAGCACTGCTGGTGTGCCACAGTTGGGGTGAAGGTGGCTGTTTTTCCAGCTCCAGCACAGGGTGCCCAGAGCAGCTGTGGCTGCTCCATCCCTGGAGTGTTCCAGGCCAGGCTGGATGGGGCTGGAGCAGCCTGGGCTGGGGGAAGGTGTCCCTGCCCAGGGCAGGGGTGGCACTGGATGATCCCTGAGGTCTCTCACAACCCAAACCAGTCTGGGATTCTATGAGTCGTTTATCCCACTCAGGATCCCTGTGGGGCTGGTGCTGGGTGATCACACAGGGCCTGGCCAGGGGCACATTGCTCCTCCACACACTCCCCTGTATGTACAGGGACCAGCTGCCTTCCTGAGGTAACTCCCAGGAATGTTCCCCAGTTCCTTTGAAGTGCATTCTGCTGCTTATTAAAGGTATGAGACTCTAATTGGACCTCTGAGGGGCTGGGGAGGACACTCCCAAGGTAAGTAAGAAAGGTGTTGTTGACTCCACAGAGCTGAGGATGGCTCTGTGTGAAAGGCAAACATGAGCTAAAGGTGGATTTTCAAATAGGATTCTGCTAGGGTTACAGGCAAACTTCATTTAAATAATCAGCAATTTCTGTCTTTGTTCTCAAAAATCATTTTATTTTCATTTTTTAAATCAGTGATTTTTAGCTTCATTTAAAACAAGATTTCATTCCCTGTAGAGTAACCCTATAAAATCCGAGTATAACACACTAACACACTTGAAAAGAGAAATTAGCTGTTGCTCCACAAGTGTGAACAGAAGTGAGTAGAAAGTGAGGCACATTGTTTCCCCCACCAAACGTGCCTGGCTCATCTGTTGTATTCATATCTGGTGTGTCCAGTACATCTCAATATCTGTGACTTGCTATTTGCTGTACAGCCCTCCATCATTAAATTAGAAGGCTTGGAGGCTCCTCATCAACTATTAATGTTCCAGTTCCATTTAATTTCAATTAGGGAGTTAAGTGGGAAAAGAATCATAATGTAATAACCTCAGCCCATTGATTGCCATGTGCTGAGCTGCTCCTCAGCTCAGTGCTGAGGGAGCTGAGGGGTTCTGGGCCTGACAGGGAGCAATTCCTGCCCAAAAAGACTTAAATACACTATCGTGTAAGTGCAGCAGTGCCCAAAGTGCACATTTATGGTTAGGGACCTGACCTGATGGAGTGTGCACCCATGTTCCAGCACAGGTCTGCAGGAATGACAAGCAGCTCCCCCTTTCACTTCACTTTCACTGTAAGTGCTGGTGTAGAGCAGGACAAAGGTAAATGATCTTATGGCTTCCTACATTTCCCAAGGTACTGAGGTTTGGGTCTGGCTTGGCTCCTGAGGGATGGGAGTTAGCCCTGACTAACTGTGGGTACCTCCCACTGCACAGAAAGGGCTCTCTGAGCTACTTTCATTTTGTAAAATACAATAAATAGCTAAATACATATGACACTGAAGAATGAGAATGATCCTAAAACCTGAAATAAGGTGTCACTAGGGTTGGAGCACTTAGTGCAGCTCAGAAGTAAAAGGATTTAGGTTTGCAGCCAGACAAGCCTTCTGGTACCACTCTGAGGGATTTGGGCTGGAGACAGAGGAGGAAAGGCAGCAAACCTGGTGTTTCTGCACCTTTTCCTCCTCTGGAATTGGGATCTGAGGTGCTATTTCCACTGCAGCACCTTTGGGACCCTCTGGGCCAGCCCAGCCCAGAGCCTGCTGGGAGCATCCAGGTGTTGGGAGCTGCTGCTCCTGCAGTACTTCACTTCTTCCCTTGAAAATGTGCTTCAGAATTAAAACAGTAATACTAGGAAAGAACTGGAATAGTCCTGGAATGAAATTACCAGCAGCAGCTGTATGGGCCAATTAAACCCTAACATTTCACAGGTGTTGTCAGAAAATGCATGTCATCTCCTCAGACAAATTATCTTCCTTCTGAATTCCTGGGACTTTCATCCAAAAGCACATTTTTAAGCCTTGAAATTGGAAGAAAGATACAAAAGCCTCTGAAATGCAAACACATGGAGCATCTGATGTGCTGTGACACTGGAAATGTTCTCCAAGCTACAAACCTGGTGTCTATTTTAGTCCTTTATTTCCTCCTCCATCCCTGCCACCTGCACAGCTCAGTCAGATGTTAGATCAGCCAGGAACAGCAGGAAAAATAAGGATTGTCTGCATGGAAATGGGCTTGGATGGAGGTATGTCAACTGCACTGATGTTTCTCTATGAAGTGGAGACAGCAGGACTCACATCATACCTATATATATATATATATATGTGTCTGTAGGTAGGTTATCATTGCAGTGGAGCCTTGTGATTTTTCCAGCCATGAGTCCTGATTTTCAGGCTGTTGCAGTTTGCAGTGAGGCTGTAAGAGCTGCAGGACCATGGGCAGTGGTGGCTGAAGCCAATGTCCCACAGCCCCAGGTGACCTTCCCATCCCAGTATGGGTGTTAGAGCTCTCCAGTCCCAGCCCAAGGCAGAGAAAGGGAAACAATAAAAGGAATGAGTGAAGAGCAGGGGAAAGAAAAGGCATTTTTCCTGCCTCCTGCTCTGTCAGGTGAATAATGTATTAACAATACATCCTGCCTTAATTTCCTAAATAGCTCATTAATGTCACACAATACTTCACAGCCTGATTTGCCAAAGGGACGAGTTCCTGCGTCAGCAGTGGAGGAGGTGGAGAAGAAAGGACCATTCTCATGGGTTTTGCTTGTGGAAGTTGAGTTTGTAGCTGCCTGTTGGTGGGCAGGTCCCTCCTTGGGTCAGATCTCTCTCTCCTGTGGTGCCTGCGAGAGGTTCTGGGGGAGCTGCAGCTCTGCTGTGCCCTGGGCTGTGTGGGACAGGTGGTGATTGGTGGCACAGGCATTGAGGGGACCTCAGGCATCGTGAGCAGGAGGGTGGAGATTATCTG